TGTGAGTGAGTGAGAGAGTGATTGTGTGAGTGAGTGAGAGAGTGATTGTGAGAGTGATGAGAGAGTGATTGTGTGAGTGAGTGAGAGAGTGATTGTGTGAGTGAGTGAGAGAGTGATTGTGTGAGTGAGTGAGAGAGTGATTGTGTGAGTGAGTGAGAGTGTGATTGTGTGAGTGAGTGAGAGAGTGATTGTGAGTGAGTTGTGTTGAGTGAGTGAGAGAGTGATTGTGTGAGTGAGTGAGTGATTGTGTGATGATGAGAGAGTGATTGTGTGTGAGTGAGAGTGAGTGAGAGAGTGAGTTGAGTGTGAGTGAGTGAGAGAGTGATTGTGTGAGTGAGTGAGAGAGTGATTGTGAGTGTGTGAGTGAGTGATTGTGTGAGAGTGAGTGAAGTGAGTGAGTGAGTGATTGTGTGAGTGAGTGAGAGAGTGATTGTGGTGAGTGAGTGAGAGAGTGATTGTGTTGATGAGTGAGAGAGTGATGTGAGTGAGTGAGAGAGTGATTGTGTGAGTTGCTGATGAGTGTGAGTGATGAAGAGAGTGAAGTGATGTGTGAGTGAGTGAGAGAGTGATGGTGAGTGATGTGTGATTGTGTGAGTGAGTGAGAGAGTGATTGTGTGTGAGTGATGAGAGAGTGATTGTGTGAGTGAGAGAGAGTGAGTGAGAGTGAGAGAGGATTGTGTGAGTGAGTGAGAGAGTGATTGTGTGAGTGAGTGAGCAGTGAGTGAACTGAGTGAAGAGTGTGTGAGTGAGTTGATTGTGTGAGTGTGATGTTGAGTGATGAGAGAGTGATTGTGTGAGTGAGTGAGAGAGTGATTGTGTGAGTGAGTGAGAGTGATTGTGTGAGTGAGTGAGAGAGTGATTGTGTGAGTGAGAGAGTGATTGATGAGTGAAGAGAGTGAGTGTGATGAGTGATGAGATGTGATTGTTGTGAGTTGAGTGAGAGAGTGATTGTGTGAGAGAGTGAATTGTGTGAAGAGTGATTGGTGTGAGTTGAGTGAGAGAGTGATTTGTGAGTGAGTGAGGAGTGATTGTGTGAGTGAATGATTGTGTGAGTGTGAGTGATTGTGGAGTGAGTGAGAGAGTGATTGCAGTGTGATTGTGTGAGTAAATGAGATGAGTGTGTGATTGTGTGAGTTGAGTGTGATTGTGTGTGAATGAGAGTGTGATTGTGTGAGTGAAAGAGTGTGATTGTGTGATTGAGTGTGATTGTGTGAGTAAATGAGAGTGTGATTGTGTGAGTAAATGAGAGTGTGATTGGGAGTGAATGATGATTGTGTGAGTGAATGAGAGTGTGGCTGAGAGTGTGATTGTGTGAGTAAATGAGAGTGTGATTGTGTGAGTAAATGAGAGTGTGATTGTGTGAGTAATGAGAGTGTGAGTGTTGAGAGTGTGATTGTGGAGTAAATGAGAGTGTGATTGTGTGAGTAAATGTGTGATTGTGTGAGTAAATGAGAGTGTGATTGTGTGAGTAAATGAGAGTGTGATTGTGTGAGTAAATGAGAGTGTGATTGTGTGAGTGTGAAAATGAGTGTGTGATTGTGTGAGTAAATGAGAGTGTGATTGTGTGAGTGAGAGTGTGAAGTAAATGAGAGTGTGATTGTGTGAGTAAATGAGAGTGTGATTGTGTGAGTAAATGAGAGTGTGATTGTGTGAGTAAATAGAGTGTGATTGTGTGAGTAAATGATGTGATGTGTGAGTGAGAGTGTGATTGTGTGAGTGAGAGTGTGATTGTGTGTGAGTTGAGTGAGAGAGGAGAGAAGAGGAGTGATAGTGATTGTGTGAGTGAGTTGAGTGAGAAGAGGAGTGATTGTGTGAGTGAGTGAGTGAGTGAGAGAGAGAGTGATAGTGAGTGTGAGTGAGTGAGAGAGAGAGAGAGAGAGTGATAGTGATTGTGTGAGTGAGTTGAGTGAGAGAGAGAGAGAGAGAGTGATAGTGATTGTGTGTGAGTGAGTGAGTTGAGTGAGAGAGAGAGAGTGATAGTGATTGTGTGAGTGAGTGAGTTGAGTGAGAGAGAGAGAGTGATAGTGATTGTGTGAGTGAGTGAGTTGAGAGAGAGAGAGAGATAGTGATTGTGTGAGTGAGTGAGTGAGAGAGAGAGTGATAGTGATTGTGTGAGTGAGTTGAGTGAGAGAGAGAGAGTGATGGTGATTGTGTGAGTGAGTTGAGTGAGAGAGAGAGAGATGTGATTGTGTGAGTGAGTTGAGTGAGAGAGAGAGAGTGATAGTGATTGTGTGAGTGAGTTGAGTGAGAGAGAGAGTGATGGTGATTGTGTGAGTGAGTTGAGTGAGAGAGAGAGAGTGATAGTGATTGTGTGAGTGAGTGAGTGAGAGAGACTGATAGTGATGGAGTGTGTAAGTGAGAGTTATAATGATGGAGTGGAAGTGAGTGAGCCAAAGGCACATCAAGCTTGACATCAAGCTTTCATTATAAGTGATTAACAATTTAAGTGACAGAATCTGTGTGCTTGTTTTGCAGGACATCAAGAAATGTTTTAGAAAGC